AGGGTGGAAAAGAGAGGATGCATAAAAGTAAATGCTAAAGTAATAGACTTTCACGTTTCTACAATAACCTAGAGTCCCCGGCAACGACGCCAAAAACTTGACACGCTAAAACACAACACCAAACTGCGACCAAGTGTAATCGCAGTCCGGGAATGCAGTAAAGTGGCAAGTTCTAATTATCAACCCGGGGTCTAGATCTACTGCCTACTCCGTGATTATCTATTATCTAGCCAACTAATTTGAGTGATTGTTGATTTAGTAAAAGCAGTAAGAAAGGAGGAAATGGTTCGGTTTTCTGAAGCAAAAAAAGAGTCACTCGGGAATGAGTCCCCCTAGCTCCTTAGTTAGGTTCCAGTTGTAATTACTTTTGGTTGCTTTACTGCTGATTATACTGCGGAAGATCCGACAGTAGCTTGGAATCTCTTAAGCTGACCAAGCCCTCTCAGTCCAACTACCCGGCAGACGACTAGTCTTCACCAGGATAGAAAGCCGAGGCCATGAACACAGAACTCCACTACTGGAATTAGATTCCAGTACAAAGCAGTGAATGGACTAACTCTCGTATAATCGATTCACTACTACCAATTGAAGAAGCTCTAACAACCTAATCAGATTCTATCTATCTCAAGTTGCAGCAGAAATCAATAAAAGGTGACCAGACTTCAATTGACTCATTCAAAACACTTCAATCGATTATAATCAAGCAATATCACAATCCAAACGTAATTACAATCAAGATTCCTAACACATGGAACTAGGGTTCTTCATACCCAAGTGAGAGAGAGTTCTACTCCATAGAGAGAGGGGAAAACAGAATACAAAGCAGTCATACTCATAACAATGGGAAGAATCTGCTCCGGGATGATGATTTTCACTCCTATGAACTCTAAGCTCGATTTGATGAAACCCAGCTCCAAGATCGCTTCTAGGATGTGTTCTTCACACTTTCTCTCTCTAGGGCTCTGTTTTTGCTCCAAAAAGTCGACCCTCTCTCCTTTGGCTCGAATCTGCCTCAAAAACCCGATTTTGGGCGAAATACGGGCTGGATTACGGTCGTAAATCTTCCATGCCCGTATTTTGCCCAAAATTCACGTTTGTGTTAAGTTTCAGTGCATCCAAGGCTCCTCTCGGCAGTGAAAATACGGGCATGGTAGGGGGCAAATACGGTCGTATTTTTCCTGCCCGTATTTCTTCCTCCGCTCCTGTTTAATGCTTCGTTTCTCCCTCGTCCGGACTCCGAATCAGTCGCGTTTGATCCCAGACGCTCGTGGTCTCGTCCTCTTTCTTTTAAAGACAAGATTCCATGATTTTTTGTCCATAATATGAGGTAGAATTCCATTCTTCCTCAGGTCATGCTCGTGTTTCTTCTCCCGAATTGCCAAATGATCTCCGATTGACTTGAAACTTGCGCCTATGCTTCAATTTACATGCTAGGACCTGAAATGTGAGAAAGGAACACAACCTAGCGTAAAACAGTCCAAGAAACCACAAATTTGAGCCAAAACAGTTAAGAAACAAGGGTGCAAACATGTGCAAATACGACTCTATCAGCAAGCGGCAACCTTCTCGACATAGATGAAGCGCAGAGGCTAGGCATCACGTACGAGAAGAAGTAAAGAGGGTGGATGAAGGCTACCACCTCAAGGGCCACAAGAACTCACGGAGTAGCGCGCTAGGTGCAACTCATGCTTGGAGGATGGACTGGGGTTGCGGACTTTGAGGTTGTGTTGTTGGATGACTATCAGGTCATCATTGGCATGGAGTTCATGGTGCGGGAGAAAGCTTTCTCGATCCCCTACGCCAATAGATTCTGTATTAATGGCGGAGCAAGATCGATTCCCATGAAAAGAGAGCAACTCGAGCTAAATAAGAGGTGTTTGGCAAGGCAAGACCAGCGAGAAGTGGCAACGATGGTGGAGGCAGCGACTCACTTGAAGAATCGTTGGAGAAGGACGAGAAGGAGGAGTGCACAACATCGTGGAGCCATGAGAGACTAGGATGAGTTATCTTCGACTTGCCAAGAGAAGCAAGCGAAGGCCACCATGATCGAGAAGGCGGGACACTCGAAGACGCGACGGAGAAGACCGCGGATGAGTGCGCAACTTCATGGGAGCACAAGGCTCGAGAGCGAGCCAAGGCCATCTTGGTTTGGAGGAAGGCGCAACGAGACCTTGCAAGCAATGAAGCTAAGGCAAGGGAGGCGTCTGCCAAAGAGCCAGGGCGAGGGCATCGTGGATTGAGTGGAGGAGAATGTCACCAACGAGGCTCAAGAGTCGAGAGAGGCTGCTCGAGGTCGATGGAGGCATTTTGTAGCAAGGGCGCGACGAGGGCGTCGTGAGAATAGGTGGGGGAGAATGTTACACGTGGCGAGCGACATGGCGAGTGATGTGGCGGATCATGACCAAGTCAAGCACGCGTTGCATTAAGGAAGACCTAGTAGCATAGGATGCTCCTAGGATTCCCCATCTTGAAGATGAGCTTAATGGTGCACATAAAGATCCACATTATGAGGTGGTATAATGGTGTGCATTATTGGGGAAACTTAATAGGTTGTGTTAATGGGGGAGAGCATTATAAGAGGTATTTACACCTTGTAAGAGAGGAGGGCCTATAAAAGCAGCACCTCCTCCTCATTTGTAAGCATCCATAATTTTTGTGAGCAATATAACTATACAGTTTCTCTCATCTTCTTGTGTCTTCTTCTTGTGAGTTGAGTGAGTTTGAGAGCTTGTGAGAAGGTTGTCTAGCATCTCTAACGGAATTGAGAGCTAGGGCCGCATGACCAAGAGTGAGGCCGTGACACTGCCAACCGAAAGCGCCAACCGACACCGACGATGCAACTTTCGGTCGCGGTTTAACTGCCATGGTTTCAGTTTTCACTGATAACCGCATCCCTCTCTCATTTGCCGGTGATTGCCAACCGACACCGACGATGCGGTTTTCGGTCGACCGAAAAACCGGCGATCTCGATTCGGTTACGCGGTTAACCGGATAACCGACCACCCGTTAACAAGCCTAGGCCTACCTATGGGAACCATGTGTTTGACAACCAAAGTTCAATACTGAGCTATTGGTTGTATTTTGATATTTTGGGGTTTCAGACCCCCGTTCAGTTAATATCTAAGGGTAGAGGAGAGCCCCTTTGCGCTCTGTTTTTCAACCCCAAAATTTTTTTTTGAGATTGTTAATCCATGTTTTAAAGCTTTTTGATAGTTGATACATCGTGGAAGTAAAACGTCCATTGAAATACTTAATAAACAAATATTCATTTATACAAACTTCATTGTATGTATAGGAGAAGGTGGTTGATTTATTTCAATGTCTACTTAAAATAGAGAACCGAAGAAGATGCATTCTATAATGAACAAGGCGTTTGCTAATGGAAAAATCCTTTAATTACCCTTTTTAAAAGAGAATAAGAGATAATCTAATTGTAATCAATAACAATAAATATTGGGGATTGCTAATCATCGCCCTTATCGCTCTAGCATAAAAATCTAAATTCCTCTTTTACCCTTCCTCTTTTATATTGTTAAAAATATTCCTCTTTTATATTATTAAAAATATATTGGGGTATTAACAAACGGATTCCATTCAACAACAAAAAAGCTTACTTCGCCATTTGTGAGAGAGAGTAGTTGAAGCAGGGATGTCAGGAACCTCCACCATGCCTCTTAATTAATCCTGATAATTTAGGTCCTTCTCATACTTTAAAACAAATTAGACCGAAGAGTAGTTAAAAGGGTTATATTATAATATACAGAAGTTGTGTGAGATTTGAAATGGACGGAAATACTGATGTGTGATGATGGTGTTGTTGTCGCTACCACTGTTGGATTCTGTCTGACTGCCGCTGTCTATCTGGCTCGCAGCACCGCCGAGGACAAAGGAAAAATGAGCCTATGGGTTGAAGTAATCTCTTGGGGGACTCGCGCCTTCGTCTATCAGGGCCGTTTGGAGAGCTATCCGTCGGTGGTGGAGGGACTCCTGCACTGCAAATATTCGGCGGCGGAAGTGGTTTGGAGGGCGACGCTGGTTGGAATAAGATAAATGATTAGGAATTTTAGGGGGTTTTTTTGTTTATTTTTACTTGGTTAGTTGGGGTTAATTTAGTACTTTTGTTTCTTAAATTAGGGCGATAGAAGTAAAATAAGGGCGACATTTAGCCATTCAGTAAATATTCCCCCTCCCCATTTTGTTACGGTAAATTATGTATAAGGTCACTAAATTATGGGTCAGCACCAACTCAATTAAGAAGTTAAAAATAGATAACATAATAATTAATAACCTAATCATCAAGGTGGTTGAGATGCTAAACTATCGCGATAACATCTAGGTTTGAAACTAGCAAGCTATTATCGAAACTCCATTGGAGGCAATTAGCCATCTTGAAAAGTAACTAACATAGAAGTCATATTTCGTATTCATCAAGTTTTCCTCCAAAAAATATATATGAATATGTAAACCTATCCGGAGTAATCATAAACAATAAAAGTCATGGAGATCAATCACATAGAAATGTATTCATGCTCTCAGCCAATATAACTTAAATTGAATGAGAAAATGAGGTTCGATTTAAATCATATACTATATAGAAACGAGTCGTCTACATCTACTAATAACAAAGCTGGTAGCAACTTTTCCTTCTTATTTTGGATGAAAATAGAAATTGATTGTTATGGACATAAAGGATGTCAAAAATCGAAGTTCAGTTACCGATTTGTTTGTATCCTCAAGGTTTAGTGGCCATTAATGTAATTGACCACCTAGTTTCCCAATTGTGTACGATTGTTTTGGCTTTTAGTTTTTCTTCTCCTGCTTATTCTCTCTCTCTCTACCCATCTTCCCTGCAAAGGTGCAAGCTCATAAGTTTTGGGACTGCTGATTTGTGTAGTTCTGGTGGAAGAATGCTTTTCACCTACTTCTTTTAACCTCCTCCCATACCAAATCTTTCTCTTCTTCCATCTTTTATCTCAGACAGAGAAAAAAAAACGAAGTTCATGGAGAGGCACAAATGCAAGCTCTGTTTCAGGGTGTTCCCAAATGGAAGATGTTTGGGCGGCCACATGAAATCCCACCTGGCGAAAATCCGCCTCCCACCCAAATCTTCATCTGCCATTACTTGCCGCTGCCACCGTCGACCTGATGACAACGAATCGTTTTCTTCTTTTTCCTATTCCTCTTCAGGGGAAGAAGAAGATGAGCAGGAAATCATCAAGAGCAGAGCGGTGGCGGAATTCGGGGGCTTTGGCAGTGGTTGCGATGAAGCTGTTTATGGGTTGAAGGAGAACCCGAGGAAGAGATTCCGGGTCGCGGATCCCGAGTTCTCCTTCGCCGGGTCGTCCTCCGTCGTGCATGACAGGGAGAGCGAGACCGAGTCAAGGAACCCGACCCGGAGGTGATCCAAGCGGACCCGACATTCGGTTGGAGATCAGAATAAGGGATTGGTAGAGAACCCGCGTTGGATTTTCGATTCGCCGGTAGCTGGAGCGGAGCAAGAACCAGTGAGTTCGGTCTCCGATACTTCCCCTGAGGAAGACGTCGCGATGTGCCTGGTGATGCTATCAATTGGAAGCAAAGATTCAGTTACAACAGGGGCGAAATTGAAGAAGGGGAAGAGGTTGAGACGGAAAATGGAGGAGAAATCAAGAAGTGGGCGGAAATCGAGGAGGATGATCAAGGGATCATGGAAAGGAGCAGCAGAATTTAGGGGAAGAAGTTGAAGTGCGAGAAATGTATGAAACAGTTCCGATCCTCACAGGAATTAGGATCCCATCGCCGGATTTGCTCCGAAGGAATTGGGAATGTGGTGGCGGAGAGGATTTTCCAATGCATGTACTGCTGCAAGGTGTTCGGGTCGGGTCAAGCTCTGGGCGGGCACAAGAGGTCACATCTCACCGGCGGTGGTTCCTACCCTTCACTCCGTCCACCACCGCCACCTCCACCGGCTGCGAAAATTGACAGGAAGAAGTACAGTTTTTTGGATCTCAACTTTCCAGCTCCCGTGGAAGACGACGAGTTCAGTGTAGTTTCTGATGCTTAAGTTTCGCCCAACTCAGAGTAGGGTGGTCGTTTTCAATACGATACCAAATCTCGAATCAAAGTTTTCGTCTTTATGTTCTGTAGAGTCTTTTAGTTGGTTGAATCAATGTTGTTGGCCCACAAGGTGGGAACTAACTCAGGTACTATACAATTCGGTGAAGTTGGGTCAAATTCATGACTTCTAGCCATAGATAGGTAACTGAAAGCCATCAAGGCATGAACCCATTTGTCATTTTTCCTCCATGGATGAACTTCACAACTTCCTCTGTCGTCTTGTAGAGCACTAGAACCCACTTCTCATTTCGTCACCACTATGGATGAAAATTCAAACTTGGAGACTACCAAGTTGAAACTTTCCTCCGTTGAATGCAACAGATGAAATCATGGCATCGCCGTCGGCTACAAACTTATTGACGATGTTTGCTTTTCTTCATTTGCTGCTACTGTGCTGCTGACTATAGATTTGTCCGACTTGGATTTGGTTTCTTCTGGTTTTGTTGTAGCAAACTTCATTGAATGCTAAAGCTGGCAAATGGGCTTTTTGCTTCAAACAGATTCTTCCCTTCCCTCCTCCCATAGAGCCTCTGATGTCAGAATTCCTTTCCTATGCCTTTTTACTTTGTTTTTGTTATAGGGATGATTTCTCGATTTGATTCGTCCTGGTTCATGCTGTGTCAGATGAGCAAGTTTCGGGAAGTGACAGACAGGGGAATTAATATCTTTGTTTGCGTTCGTCCCAATGTTAATATGTTAGTTGTTGGTGGGTTTTATACTTTTATCTTTTCAGGTACAATGGGGGGCATTGTCAAATAAGCATCAAGAAATTGGTCACCTTTCGATTCTCTACATTTTTTACACAGTCAAATCCACTTTTATCCCACTAACGAAAGAAAAAAATAAGAGTTACGTCTTTTCACAGCAACCAGAAATTGATCTATAATATCAAATCAACTTTCATACAGAACCGCCGTAATTAATGCTTAGTCTTGTTTATACCTAGGTGAATCTTAGTCGATCTCCTCATGTCTCCATTACTGCTTTATGTCAGGCGGTCCTCCTATCTTGTCTACGAGAGGCCGCCTAACATACTTAAATGCATGTCGGTTGGGCTCCCTTATGGGACTGGGCCTGCTGACCTTCCTCCTTCGGCTTCAGGCCTGATACCGCTCAACCAAGTGGGCCCATCAATTGCCCCATAGGCGTGAAAATCTTTGAATTTTGGTGGCTATGACTTCCCTTCTATCTTGTTGAGTTGTTTTTCTTTCAATTAACCGCTACCCCATACTCTTGCCCCTGCCGCTCGAGAACCAAAGATGACCCTCCAAGGGATGTTGTCCACACTGACTTCAACCGCCTTCGAGCTGTACGGTTATTTTTTCCATCTTTCATAGTCCACGTGGCGAAATTTGAATTTCGAGCCCTGACAAGGGTCATCGGGGCCGTATTTTCAGCTGCCCGCTTTTTGAATTAGTAGACTAGGGTTTTTCCTAGATCACCAAACCGTCACAACACTTCTACCCTGCTTTTTCGTTTCTATTTAAACGAGAAAATTACCCATCTTCTTCACTTTTTGCCTTCCCCTCTTCTGCTCTGAAGTTTCTTTGACCTGAAACAAAAATTGCTCGTTGCTTCGTATTTACCCTTTCTTCTTACCTTCAAAGGCATCCGCTCCTTTCTATGAAATGAGGCACGTAGCTTTCTGAGTTACGACGAGCTCAAAAGCGAGCCAAAAGGAAGAGGCGAAAAGCAAAGATGGAAATCGATTCTCAGGCCACCACTCCCTCCAACATCCAGAACAAGAATGTATCAAGTGATTCTCCCCCCGGCACCGTTGCTGGCAATGCTAGGACTTCCATCACCGGCACAACTCCTCGCTCGTCCTCTAAAATTGGCGGCAGATCCAGCGGCTCTACTGTCATGGTTAAACTAACCGCTCAAGGTATGCATGACACTTTTTCAGCTTTTGGTATTTCTTATATAGAATGGGATTTGGAGAATATTAACCTTGTATTTGGTTACGAGAATTTTGGCAACCCTAGGGAAAGTGAAGGCGGTCCTAAGTTTGGCCTTTTAGGCTTAGATGGGAATGCATTAGCCGATACTAGGACTTCACTAGCTTTGCGGGGCGGGGGGGGGGGGGGGGGGGGGGGGGTGGGGGGGGTATCCTCCAGGGTTGGCGACAACCTGCGACTTCGACTCTTCTGATATGGATCGCGATTCTTCACATGGCATTCCCGTGATCGCATTATCGTCTGAAGACACAATGAATCGCACAACAACCACATAGAGTTTGGCGTCTTTGCTACTGAATCTCCCTTACCATTTCTGCGGGACCGCCCATAACACCTTTCCAGGCGGTTGCTGGCGACACATACCGCGTGCGTTTGCACAAGGATATGTGGGAGGGAGAAGAAATACCCTCGCATGTTTTCAATCCAAGATCAATGTACGTAGCTTCTTATCGGCCATCTCAAGTCCTTCGTCAATTAAAGAATCATGGTCTCCCCCCTTAGTGGGATTACACTGCTCTTTCTCCTGCTGGGTGATCTGGTTCATGTCCGGGTGGGTGGATCCCTTATAACACCCTAGCTCGGCCGAGCACTACTTTTACTAAAATGCCCTTGAAAATTAAAACACTCAAGCTTAAACTGCAGCGAAAAAAATTCATAAATAAAATACTGAAAACACACTCTTGTAGTTTAAAGCAATGCCCTAACACGTGGCGAATTAAACTCAAACTTTAAAATCTCAAACTGATCTCCAGTCTATACTCATAATCATAAAACGTAATAACTAACTAGCGTCAACTGCTGCTGCTCATAGGAAACTTTGACTGGACATCCTCCAAGACGCTCGTATCGTTCTCCTCTAGCAGGCTTCCCTAAAAATGTTTGTACTTCCACTCTTAAAAATCTTAACTCTTAAAGTTGTATGGGAGCTACTGTTACTCTCCATTCTTAAAGCTCAAAATTCAACTTTAATACTTGACTTACACGGGGATCCCTCACTAGCTAGTCCGGTTGCCCAACTCATACGTATGAGAGGCCATCCAGGCTTTCCTTAAACTTAAACTTAGTTAGGGGAGTCGTAACTTTTTATCACCCTAACATCTTAAACTTATCGTTGTGGCTCTTCACCACGATTCTTAAGAGCATAATTGTTTATCATCTTAAAAGTCTATAGAGCATAGTTGCTGCTCTATCTCAAAAACTCAAATGGCAACGGACTGGCGCTAGTGACTAAAACTCTTAAAATGACTACACCTTTTGATTTTTGAAGGTGAAGTACTTCTTAAAAAGAAACTTGTTTGTTAAACCTCAAGCAATGCTCAAACCACGCACATATCACCAATCATAAATAAAATCAAACAATAACAATCACTTCATCAAAATACTTAAAGCTCGTAAAACTTGAAAGAACACGTAAGGCGTAGAATTTACTCCTTTACACTCACCTTAAGTTGAAACTGATTGGATTGAATCAGCTAATGCCCAAGACGATTTCCTTTCACTTGAATCAATTGCTGCCGCATAATCTCACCACCAGTCGATCGTGAGGGAGAATGGACATGCAGACTCGCCGTTCGTTTTCCTTGGAACCGAGTCATTTATTACCACTTCCAAGTCCAATGGAAGTAAACGTCCGCACCAATCAGCGTGGGGCCAACATTTCGCACCGCTTTATTTAGCACGTTGTGCCCTTAGCTTTCCACTTTCAATGATCTCGCATCCCTTCGCACCGCCATCCCCTTTTGTGCATTTGATTTCCTTCCCGCAGCTCTGGTCCGATTTAACAAAATAATGCCCCGTCCATTTAATTCCCCAAAAGGAATCAGCACTTACCTTCTCCTTTCTCTCATACCACCGCCAACAAGCTGCTTCCTCTGTGTCTCTCGATTGATTGAGACTCGGTGGCGGCTGTTGCTTTGCAACCGAACGAGATTGGGAGAAGGGTTGAGTTACGCGAGGGAAAGTGCAAGATCGTGTGGGGGAAAAAATGGTTGCAAGTGTTTTATTAGTTTTTAGGGTGAGGCGAGAGGGGTAATGAGTCTAGGTTTTAACTGGTTCAAGGGTATATTAGTAATTGCACAATTACGGGTGAGTTTAATCCGAAACTCCGTTAACATCCGTAACTTCCTTATTTTATGTCGAAACTCGATACCGTTTGAACCGAGAGTTCATATTTTGAATCCTCATCAGCTTTATCATGGAATTTGTCAAGTTTTATCAAGGGCATAATGGTATCTTGGGTTTAGAAAATTTGGAGTGTAACATTCCTATCCATATGGAGCATATCAGGATGGATCGTCAATTCCCACTTGACCCCATACCGATCCAAACTCTTCTGCATCTCAGCTGCACACTTGGGCGTCTTTCTTCCGGTATTATTTTTCATACCATAACTTTTCGGGTAGCCTGCAAAAGATTAAAGGTGGAGCCTTCATTTGATGTCTTCCGCCTCTTGTATACAATGCGCGGTTCAGACAACTATTGGTCGTGCTACAGGCGAGAGACTCGCGTGGGCTTTGTCTACGGCACGCCCAAGTTAGATTTTCCTTGGTTTAAAGAATATTTCGTTGCACGCCCCACTGGGAAATGGTATTCTTGCGACGTAGACTAGGTTCGCGGTTGGCAATAAAGAGGATTTGAACGCCAACATTGATTCCCTCGCACCTTTCAAAGAACTTCTCAAACGAATAATTTCAATCGTTCAATTTTGTCTTCTTCCTAAAGGGCATGATAACGCGTTGGATATTGTTTGGCGCTTTCACGGTCACTTAATTCCTCCTTGGTTATTTTCACGAAGTTTTCTCATGCTTTTACTTATGGGTTGCTTTCGCAGGAACTCTTCGATATGCGTCTACGAAAAGGCCGCCGAAGCGAGGCACATGTTCCTCTGTGGCCGCAGTTACTTTACTTCCTGTCGATTAGGCAAAGACTCGAGCTACTGCTCCTCTCCCATTTACTCATACACAACTCATTGTGTGTCGTTCCAGGGAGC